GAATGAATTTTCTTGCTGCCCAGGCTTGCATTCGAAGCAGCTCTCTTCTCGATGGTGTCAGCTCTGAAGCATCCTACCTGCTTAGCTCTTGGTATAAAACCTTTTAGGAATTGTTACAAAAAAATAATTGAGATTATTTAAATTATTTAAAAGTTAAATTGGTTAAGTTACTCCATCTTGGATGTATTTGGTCGGGAAAATGATTGATTGGTTGATTGATTGGCTGATTGATTGATGACGCAATAGAAGCCACGCCTACAAAAAACCTGAATAAACGGCATAATAGTCGTCACCCCCGCACAAATGGTTGCTATGACGACAGGTCATGTGACAAAATTGGGATGACGTCATTTGGTCGGCGTCAGTGCCACAGAAACATGTGGTTTTGCCCTGATTGGTGCGCGTGTTTGTGCATGTGTGTGTGCTTGTGTAAACGTATGTGTTGATGCGTATGTGTGTGTGTGTATAGATGTGTGTGTGTGTAGATGTGTGTGTGTGTGTGTGTGTGTGTGTGTGTGTGTCGCACCTTGATAGCAATAATGTGGTCTTCGCTTTTGTTCCACATGAGACAGCGTTCCAGGCATTCGTCAAAAGTTTCGATGATCCAAATTTTGTGGTAGTTGAAGACTCCGAAACAGCCAACGTATTGTACTTTCGGTTTCACATTCCCTTACGTGTTTGTGTGTGTGTGTGTGTGTGTATGTGTGTAAAAAATACAATACATACAATAGAATTATTAAACAAGATGCAATACAACACACTACAATACAAAACAACACAACACAACACAATACAATACAAAAAAGCACACCAACACATCTTACATACTTGAATATACTTCGATTTCACTGAAGACCATACTCCTATTTATTTCACCGACACCACCAACACCATCTCCATCCTCATCTTCATCTTCATCCTCATCATTTTCACCATCGTCATCATCATCTCTCATGATGATGACGTATCTTGCCGCATACGTTTTATCGTAGCAGTGCATCTCGACGCGATTTTCAGGACAGTTTCTGCTGCATTGAACGTAGACAGAGACTTAAATATAGACATAGACCTAGGCAGACGAGAACATAGACTTAGACAGACGTAATCGTAGACTTAGACAGACGTAATCATAGACTTAGACAGACGTAATCATAGACTGAGACAAACATAACCATCGACTTATAAAGACATCTAAATAAAAGCAGTTATCATCAATAAATTATGAACTACGACGAATAAATATACTTAAATAATATAATAAAAGTAATATAGCGACTACAAATAAGAATCATAAATACGCAATTAAAATACATTCAACAGATTAAATCTTGAAATAAAATCATACTTAGACTTAACATAATCATAAACATAGACTTAGACAGACGTAGACATAGACTTAGACAAACGTAGACATAGTCTTAGACAGATGTAATCATAGATTTTTGCAAAACCTTTCATGGTAACTGTCGCATAGTTCGTAAGAACCAGACAGGAAAGATTTCTTTGGAGGAACATGGAGGGATTTGTTGAGACCCACTGAGATAACTGGCATCTGGGAAGCTGTAGAATGAATGGATGGATGAATAAATGAATGAATGAATAAATGAATGAATGAACGAACGAACGAATGAATGAATGAATAATGACCAACAACAACCACACCGAAGCTGCGACTCCTGCAATAACTTTAAAAGTACGTATTTAAATAAAATTAGAAGAACAACTTCTCCAAGAGAAACCCATCGAACCGTCGTAGATGACGACCCTTTCCACGATGAACTGCCCCTCTAAATCGACGACCACCCACATTGCATCCATCTGGGCTTCCCTCAAGACCAGCTTGACATCTCCCACTCGACCGTCTAGAGCCCGGACCAAAACTTCCGGGTTCGAAACCGTCCTTGGGACGATAAGACTGGATGCTAATGCTACGTTCTTTCCTGGGATATCTGGGATGGATGGATGGATGGATGGATGGATAGATGGATGGATGGACGGATGAGTGGATAAACGAATGGTTGAATGGATAGATTGATGCTCGCATAATTAGATGGACAAACATATAGATAAATAAATAAATTGTTTGTGATAGTTGGATGGGTGAATGAATAAATGAATGAATGTGTGAGTGAATTAATGAATCAGTGCAGTGATTAGTGCATGTTAATTGCAGTGATTTGAATAAGTTTTAAAAAAAGTTGGATGATTTTCTTATGAACACTAAATTTAAATACGATTGGAGAGCGGAGTGGAAGTAGGACTACACGTGAATGCTGTTTATAGATTTTGGATGATGGTATAAATGTTTGTTTTGACATGATTGTCTTTAAGAGAGGAAGATATATATGAATGGTTGAAATTGAAATTTTTATGAAGAAATGTTTGCGTATATATATATGTAAAGTTGAATTAATAATCGAAGTTATTCTCTTATATTTTTGTTTATTTATTTATTTTTTTTTGGTTTGATCTTTACGCATGAACAGAACATATTAACATATATTCATGTACATTATTGTTTATGTGTTAAAATTTTATAGTTAATTTTGTGTCGCGGGCATAGGGACATGTTTTTTCTCATAATAATAATAATAATGAACAAATTGATGGATGAACGATTCAACAAAATATTTTACCCAACAAACAATAATAATAGACTACAAAAAGAAGACGCACGCCTTCACACATACAGGCACACCAATACGCAACTACACACCAACACACATCTACACACACACACAGATACACACACCTACACACACCCACAAATACACACAACGACACACACACAAACACAAACACACACAAATACACACACCTACACAAATACACACACACACACAAACACACATACACATACCGACACACATTAACTGATCTGTGAGGTACTGATGCGAATCACATGCGCATTCAGATTGGGGTACGTCATTAAAGACGACGCTGCTGTCCAAGCATTTCAGAGAGCCACAATCACCATTCAATCGTTTGCAATCTTGTGGGGTCAATCAATCAATCAATCAATCAATCAATCAGTCAGTCAGTCAGTCAGTCAGTCAGTCAGTCAGTCAGTCAGTCAGTCAGTCAGTCAGTCAGTCAGTCAGTCAGTCAGTCAGTCAGTCAGTCAGTCAGTCAGTCAGTCAGTCAGTCAGTCAGTCAGTCAGTCAGTCAGTCAGTCAGTCAGTCAGTCAGTCAGTCAGTCAGTCAGTCAGTCAGTCAGTCAGTCAGTCAGCCAGTCAGCCAGCCCGCCAGCCAGCCAGCCAGTCAGTCAGTCAGCCAGCCAGCCAGCCAGCCCGCTAGCCAGCCAGCCAGCCAGCCAGCCAGCCAGCCAGCCAGTCAGTCAGTCAGTCAGTCAGTCAGTCAGTCACACAATCAATTAATCAATCAATTAATTAATTTAATACAATCTAAAATAAATAATCGATACATTAAATAAATATAAAAATTAAAAAAACCTCGACGATCGCATAGTACCCCCTTCCATCCATCCTGGCAACCTCCTTCACATTCCCCCCAATATTTCAAACTCCTCTCACTTCCTCTATCATTTTCTCCATCATCTTCACTCTTTCTTTTCTTCTTTTTTACATTCTTTCTATCTTCAGCATCTCGCTTGAATTTCTTCCCGTCTGTTGCTCCAAGCAGTGCGCAGTGACGAAATGATGATAGGCCCTGATTCAACTGCACGCTGTCCACACTGGCTGGTGAATGAGTGAATGAATGAATGAGGAAAGAGTGAATGAATGAATGAATGAGTGAAAGAAATAAATGAATGAATGTTGGTGAATTGATTAAAATAGGAAAGAATGATGAAAGAGTGAGTGATAAAAAGTTATTACAAATAAATCAACAGGCTAACAAAGCAAACATACCATCAAATACATACCATGATACCTCACCACACAATTATCGCACATCCCTGAAATTTTGGATGACGTCATCATGGTTCCGGCTGAAGCAAGACAATTTTCTTTGTCCGTGAAATCGCACTGGCACTGTAGTAGGGCGGGAGAATTTTTGTAGATATCATTATCATCATCGTCGTCGTCATCATCATCATCATCGTCATCGTCATCATCACCGCCGTCATCATCATCATGACCTTCTCTCCACTTATGTATGCAAACAGAGCTTTCATCTCTAAGCAGGCTAACATGCATCGCTTGATTCTGAACAGTGATGATGATGATGATGATGATGATGATGATGATGACGTTGATAATGATGATGGTGGTGGTGATGGTGGTGGCGATGATGACGACAGAGGAGGAATATTGAATGAAAGATCGGATTTCCATTTTATAATCCTGATATCCAAAATGAACCGTGACATTCTTTGCAATGATCTAACTGTATGTGTGTGTAACATGTATTTAACAGTGTATTGTATTGTATTGAATTGTATTGTATGTATGTATTGTATGTATTTTATTGTAATGTGTGTATTGTTTTGTATTGCATTGTACTGTATGTTTGGTATTGTATAGTAATATATTGTGTGGTACGTAGTATATTGTATTGTATTGTATGATATTGTATTATATGTATGTATTATTGTATTGCATTGTATTGTAGGTTTAGTATTGTATAGTACATTGAATTGTATGATATTGTATTGTATTGTATGTATGTATTGTATTGTATTGTATGATACATAATTCAACGCATTTATTGTATATAAAGAAAGAATTATCGTCATCATCATTATCTTCATCACCATCGCCAATTTCATCATCACCATCATCTTCATCCTCTATCACCACCACCATCATTTTCATCATCATCAACTTCATCCTCTACCTCTACCACCACCACCACCATTATCATCATCTCCATCCTCTACCTCTACCACCACCATCACCATTATCATCATCATCATAGATATTAACACGAGTAGACAGAATGATAGGTTCCACCACCCCCACATGCATCCTTCCCATTTTTGCACTTCCGGTTGCAGAGCTGGCTGGAGACACGGAACATCACCCGATCCACACAGTAACATTCTTTTCCTTTCTTCATTTATTCATTCATTCGTTCGTTCGTTCGTTCGTTCGTTCGTTCATTCATTCATTTATTCATTCATAAACCAGTCAATCTGTCAGTTGTAGTTGATTGATTGATTGATCAATGTAGTACGATAAATGACTGATTGATTGATTGATTGATGATTAATTGAGTGAGTGATTGAAAAATCCATCCATCCAACCGTGATGGCAATGAGATGCAGTGCGGACTGGGGCATACAGAATTGTTTGCAGTGCTCGTACGATGTTGTGGGGCTGGCTGCCAGAGGAACGACTGAAGAATAACAGCCAATGTAACTTTCGTCTGTCGTTTTTCAATCAATTAATCAATCAATCAATCAATCAATCAATCGACCGACCGACCGACCGACCAACCAACCAGCCAACCAGCCAGCCAGCCAGCCAGCTAACCATCCAACCAACCAACCAACCAACCGACCAACCAACCAACCAACCAACCATCCAACCAACCATCCAGCCAACCGATCTTTAAGCTTTTCAATCAGACAATTAACATAAGAATCAACCACATAACTGATCAATCGTTCATCAATTCATTCAATCAGCAAGATGTTGTAACCTTTGTGAGCCGATGATACGCAAACGAAAACTACCAACGTATAAACGGTTAGCATTTTAACTCTTAAATAATTTGAATAATTAATAAATTAATTACTAATTAATTATATCCCTAATTGATTAATTTGAAAGTTAATTTAGTTAAATTGTCGTTAACTATTTCTAAGCTTTATGCACGTGCTAAAGTAATTAATATATTATTATTTATAATTATAAATAAATATAAAAATTTAATTGTTTGATGGATTTTTATTTATAGAATGTGGCGACGAAGTTCGGTACGAGGGATGGATCTTTCTTTCATTTTTTGGCCCATTACATGTTTGCTTATATTTGTGTGGCTGGTGTTGATGTTTTGGTGGATGTGTGTTTTTGTTCTTAATTTAAATTTAATGATGTTTCAGAAAGACATTTGTACAAAATCTCTGAATATAAATTAGAGAGAGAGAGAGAGAGAGAGAGAGAGAGAGAGAGAGATGGAGAAAGGAGAGAGAGAGAAAGAAGGAAAGGGGGAGTAGAAGAGAGAGAGAGAGAGAGAGAGAGAAAGAATTGAAAGACTGAAAAAAGAAGACATAAAAGCAAGGAGAGACAGAGAGAAAACAGAGAGAAAAGAGAGAGTGAATAAAAAGAGCAGGTGAATATTTACATAGGCGGCGTGATAGCCTAGTGATTAAGGTCGACTGGTCCAGTTACGCAGTGACCGGGTTCGAGCACGACAAAACGATCCCCATCTATCACATGCTTCGTGTATGATTCGTCGTTTAGCACGTATTTATATAAGATGTCTGCATGCAGTGTTAATTCCTCTATATCTAGAAAGAAATCCATAGACCAATTTTTAACCTTTTTAATATGAGAAATAATCAATCTTTCTTGTAATCAACCTTTCGAGTAACTTTACATACAAATACAAATAAATACATTAAAAATCAATTGACTGATTAAATAAATTAACAATTTATTCATAATATACATATATATTACAGTTTATTCTAGTTATGTGGTTTAAACTTATAAAAATCCAATTTAAAACTTAAATGAACTTTTAAAGGAATTCACTTCAGTCACGGTTGAAATGATTTCGTTGACCGACTTCACTTACGTTACAGAGTTCCTCTTGTACTTTTAAGGCTTTTAAGCTGAACTGCGCTGCTAAAGTTTCTTAATTCATAATTTATTAATTATTTTTTCACAATTTGCATTCAAATTTGTTTAAATTATTAATAGATAGTTTACGGATTAATCTGTTTTAGTGCGTTGTTTAGTGTCTAAATTTTTATCTGAGATTATAATTTATATTATCTGATTATCATGCTTAATTTTAAATTTAAATATCAACCATCAAAATAATATAAATACAAATTATTTATATTATTTTTTTAAATTTCAGTTAAATTTGCAAAAATGATGTCACCTAGTACTAGAAAAATTTTGTTTTCCTCTATGCCCTGCTATCTGGGGGCTCTCTCCTTTGGCTTTGTCATAGGTTGGTTTGTTAGTTAGATTCTACTATCTTGTACTTTGTAGCTATTTTTTATTATTTTTTTATTAATTAATTAAAATATGACCTATTAATTGATATTAGTTTATCTAATATTAGATATACTTCTTTTTTCTCGTGCCTTGTCCTTTTAGGAAATTGGCGACCATTGACCTCCACAAAACCCAATCTTTAACACTTTGTAGTGGTTGAGATGTAGATATTTAACAAGTGACATAAGGACTTCACGAATTAGATATGCATACAATGCATATAATAAAAATATATTAAATAAGAATTAATTTCTCCCAGATTTCATATCATTGTTCTAATATTTGAGTTTACATTTCGTTTATTTATTTATTTATTTTTTTATCTTTTTCAATAAAATGTACATATTATAATATTTAGTTTGATTTTTAGATTAATTATTTATATTAAAAATTTTAAAAGTTATAATATAACCTGTGGAAAACATAAATCTTCAGGTTACACATCTCCATCCTTACCAAAGATGCAAGAAATAGATGAGCCACTGTACAACAGCCCTAACTCTTCTGCCTGGTTTGGATCGCTGGCCACCATCGGGGGAATGTTGGGATGTCCACTGGCCGGCATTTTAGTCGACAAGTTAGGTAGGAAGAAATCAATAATGGCGTCGTCTCTGCCATTTCTTATTGGCTGGCTTGGCATTGCTTGGGGAACTAGTTTGGACGTTCTTTACCTGGCAAGGTTGAGTGGTTGGTCAGTTGAATGGTTGGTCAGTTGAATGGTTGGTTAAATGGTTGTGCAATTGTTTGATTGGTTGGATAGTTGTGTGGTTAGTTGGTTGACTGATTGACTGTTTGAATGTTTTTTTGATGATTTATATAACTAATATTCTAATTTGTTGATCAGATTCATTGCAATAAATGTTGGCTCGGTTACTCATTGCATAGTTGTTATATCTATCTACGATGATGATGATGACGACGATGAGGATGGTAGTGTTGGTGACATATCAGTGATGATGTCAATTATTATGATGATGAACTTTCTGATGTTTTTTTAAACAAACGACAACATTCCATCTCTAGATCAAATGTTTGCTCATTGTAGCAAGGCAAACATTCTCTCAGCTGATGAATTATCACATTTGAGAAAATGAACTTTCTTACATATCACTTCATCATCATCATCATAACTTCATGTTATTATTATCATTTTTCTCCCCATCATCATCATCGTCGTCGTCGTCATCATCATCGTCGTCGTCGTCATCAGATTGTTGACTGGTCTCGGTGGGGGCATGGTGTGTGTGGTGAGTCCGTTGTACATATCTGAGACATCCAGTAAAGAAATCAGGGGCAAGTTAGGGACAGGGGTGCAACTATTCGTCACCATTGGTTGGTTGGTTGTCGGGTTGGTTGGATGGCTGGTTGGTTGGATGGTTGGTTGGTTGTCTGGTTGGTTTTCTGGTTGGTTGGTTGTCTGGTTGGTTGGCTGGTTGGTTGGTTGTCTGGTTGATTGGTTGGTTTACTGGCTGGTTGGCTGGTGTCGTTAATACAATAATTAATTATTTCAGGTATTGTATTGGTGTATGGTCTGGGTGTATATTATAGCTGGAGGAGTTTGGCACTGTGGTGTTCTGCCCTGCCAGTTATCACCTTGTTATTCAGTTTCTACATTCCTGAAACTCCGAGGTTTGTTTATTATCATTATTATTGTTGTTGGACTGGCAACATGTTTGCAATGATTCACATCATTCATTCATTCATTCACATCATTGAATGAATGAATGGATAAATGAATGAATGAATAAATGAATGAATGAATGAATGAATGAATGGATAAATGAATGGATAAATGAATGGATAAATGAATGAATGAATGGTTGACAGCGTTGTGTGCGAGATTTAAATTTTATTTCTTATTACTTTTCTTTGTAAAAAATATGAAAATAAATAATAGAATCAACTTTTTTTTCTATCCTTTTAAAGAAGACCACACGCACACACACACACACACACATACATGCTAGCTGTATATATATTCACTTCAAATGTGAAAACAATCCCACTTACATGCATACTTACATACACGCACACCCATGCATAACCACACACACACACACACACATACATAAGCACACTCACATACACAGACAGAAAAATACACATAGTTACACACACGCACACACACACACACACACAAATGATTTTATTGATGACAACAGCTGTTGATTTTTTCAGTTTAATTTCTTTCCAAAAAAAAATCACAGCTCATTGCTTGCATGTGTATGTATGTATGTATGTATGTATGAACCCATAATTAATTAGAACTATAAGGAAGTAATAATCATATCCGGGTTCAGCTATGTTAAACACTTCGCACAGACAGGTATTTTAACGTTCCATCAAAATACAGAAAGAATTATATTTTTGAAGTAAATTAGAAAAGGATTGCTTTACATAACTCTTATCTAATGGGTCACCCGATACTTCTACAATCCTGCTATAGAGTTCATTTAGAAAACTCTGATTCTGAAAATCGTTTGGACCAAAGGTCTCAATACAGACTGGCTGAAAAATTTTGCTATCTGCAAGAGCCGCATATTTTGAATTTTTAAAGTCTGCAGCTCTTAAGGCAGCGGCACCCGCCTCCTGTGATGTAAGATTAATGTACCTTTCAGCCATGGTATGGGGGAATGTATGTATGTATGTATGTATGTATGTATGTATATATATATATATATATATAAATGCATACATACCGTTAAAGTTTGATCATGCAACACCAACTTTAAATGATCTTCATTGGCGAAATGTTCAGAAAAGAGGTTATTTTACTGCTCCAGTTATTTTTTCAATTGTGAACTTTTGTATGAACTTTATGAGGGCGCCTTTGAGAAACTTTTAAATTGACGCTATATTAAATTTTTCTGTAGTAGTAATAATAATAATAATAATAATATCAGTATCAGGATTTGTATGTCGCCTCTCCTGAAAAGACCTCAGAAGCGCTCTCTTTGGTGTACAGTGTTGAAATAATGATGTTTCTATAATAATAATAATATTAATAATAATTATAATAATAATAATATATTTATGTGTGTGTATGTATGTGTACGTGTGGGCTTGTATGTGTGATAGTTTTTGTATATGTGTTTTCAAGAAAATCCATACCATACTATCGCGATGTGTGTTCGTGTGTATTTATCTGCATATCATTATTGAGTTTGAATTTTTTAAGTGTGTTGTTAGTTAGTTCTTCAAATTATTTTGAGTTTTCAAAATCATTATTCATCATTATCACCACCGCCGTCATCATCATCGTCATCATCATCATCGTCATCATTCTTGTCAGTACGTTATAACATACACATTTGTCTACACATTCACTCGCTCCATACCCACACGCGCGCACACACACACATTTTGGTCTGTCATCATCATCATCATTGTCGCCTTTACCGTCATCTTCATCATCATCATCATTATGTTTCTTCTGTTGAACTGGCAACATGTTTGCAATAATTCACATCATTCATTCATTCATCATCTTACCATAATACAACACATCATCTGTTCATCATGTTAAGTTGTTCATTATCTGTTGTTGTTATTATTATGGCGATGATGATGATTAGGATGATGATGACGATGATGACAAAGATGATGGTGATGATTGTGATGGTGATGGTGATGATGATTTCAGTGGCGTTTGTGACTGGCATAAATATATTAATAATAATAATAACCATGGAAGATAATCATGATGATAAAGAATTGAAGGGGATGGTAATGATAATCTACTACTACTACTATTATTATTGCTACTACTACTACTGCTGCGGTTGCTGCTGCTACTTCTACTACTACTAATATTACTACTACTTCTGCTAATAAAAATAATAATTGTTATTATTGTTTTTATTTTTAATCCAAAGATACTTATTAGACCAAGGTAACAAATCGGAAGCATATTTAGTTCTTCTGTCCATACGGGAGACAAGTTCAGCAGCTGAGCTGGAGATGGATGAGATGGTGGGATTGGTGGAAGAAGATGGCGGGAAAGTTGGTGATGATGATGATGATGACGGATGATGATGATAGTGATAATGATGATGATGGTGCTGTTGGTAGTGTTGGCAATTATAATCAAAACTGATATCAAAAATATTTATTCATCTGTCAATCAATCAATCATCACAGTATCCAACTATTCTTCCATCTATGGACCATCCATCCATCTACTCTTACATCCATCCTTTCATCCCTTCATTCACCCACTCAACCACAACTTCAACCACGTCGACAGCAGTCGACACGTCAGCAGCAGCAGCTCAGCAGCTTCTACAGTGACCTCATGACCCCTGACCTCTACAAACCCCTCCTCGTTTCCATCCTCATCATGGCGTTCCAGCAGCTGACTGGTATCAACGTCGTCATGTTCTACACGGTCTCCATTTTCATGGCCGCCGGATTCGAAAAACAAAATGGCGGACTGGCCACTCTGGCGATTGGATTAGTGCAGGTCGTGTTTACGTTCGCGTCGGCCATGTTGATGGATAGGGCGGGAAGGAGGATCCTGTTGATGGCCGCCAGTCTAGGGATGTGCGTTTCCTGTTTTGTCATGGCCGCCTGCTATCGGGGAAACGTCGGGGACGTATCGTCCGTCGCTGGTCAGTTCGTTTTGGCGGGAAATGACGTGATTGGTTGTGGGATTGGTGACGTGATTGATGACGTCATGTGATTGATGACGTAATTGGTGATGCAATTGGTGAGATGATGGTGGTGTGATTGTGTCTTAATGTGTTTGTGTAATTTTATGACGCTGGGATTATCTGCTGAAGTGATTTGCCGAGTAAGTGTTTTGGAACGTCTAAAAGGAATTTAACTGAACATGAACAACGTTAATACGTTTTGAAATATTTCCAAAAACTCCACAGCAACCCCTCACTACCTATCCATCTCCCATTTCATGTTGATTTTACTTTTCGCATGAATTAACTTTTATAATAAAAGCTTCGGTAAGCCAGTCAACCAGCACCTCCAACATCGGACTGGCCGTCTTGATCAGTCTGATAGTTTACGTGGCCGCGTTTGCCCTCGGCTGGGGTCCAATACCAATGTTACTTACGTCTGAGATATTTCCTGCCAAGACTAGAGGTGAAAATGAAATGATTCTAGTGATAATTGTAGTCATGATGACGATGATGGTGATGATGATGATGATGGTGGTGGTGGTTAATCTGCTGATTATGATGATAGTGATGATGATGATAATACTGACTTAGATAATTAATTATAAATTATTAGATAATTAATTATAAATTAGAATTGATTGAATAAATTGTTTCTTCTTCTTCTTCTATAAATTAGAATAATTATGAAAAATTATGAAGGGACTGCCATGGGGCTAGCCACACTGATGAATTGGTTCATGGCTTTCCTGGTCACTCTCTACTTTGAGGATGTTAAGCAAATGTTTGGCATGGATGGGGTGGGATGATTTTTTTTTAATTTTTTTCAAACACCTTCTTTTATTCTTTTATTTGTTTATATTTTCTTCCATTCATTCGAGTTTTAACTAAATCAATCACCGCTTAAAATCCCACTCATCATGATGTTTATTCATTTTCTGGTATAATCTACCTACCCATCTGTCTATCCGTTGAGGTTATTTTGCTATCACCCATGCATCTACTTTCTCTCTCTCCCTCTCTCTCTCTCTCCCTCTTTCCCTCTCTCCTCTCTCTCTCTCTCTCTCTCTCTCTCTCTCTCTCTCTCTCTCTCTCTATCTCACTCTCTATCCACACAGGTGTTTGGATTTTTCGGAGCGTGCAGCCTGCTAGCGACGATGTACGTATTCCTATACGTCCCTGAGACCAAGGGCAAGTCCCTGGAGGATATTTCCGCCTTCTTTTTTACTCCCAGCAGGATCATTCGCAGCATTTAATTAATTCCGTGTTTGTGTGTGGTGTGTGCGTGCGTTTGTGTGTGTGTGCGCGTCTCTCTCTCTCTCTCTCTGTTTTTCTCTCTGTCTATATACGTGTGTGTATGTGTGTTTGTTATTGTTGTTGTTGATTCTGTTTCATATTTAGCTTTTAATTTTTTAGTCCTATTACGTTCTTTCTTTCTTGCTTCGGTTAAAACTTTCAATCACATTTTGATTGAACGCTTTTACGGCACTGTCACAATCGCCTGCATATAACACAGAAATAAATTCATATAAATTCACAAACACACACACAAACAAACACACATACACCTACACATATAACACACACGCCACTCACACACACACACCACACACACGCAGAAACACAAACACACACACAGAAACACACACAAATAGCTAAAAATATATAAATACTAATCGATGTCTTTTCATCTTGTTAAGCTGTTTGGTATTGATTATGAGTTTACACTCACAACACACACACACACACATACATACTTACACACATATAAATATATATATATAGTGTATATAAATTTTTTTTTATTTCGTTTTTGAAGTTTGTAAAGAATACATGGCTATGTGATACCTGAGAGTTACCTGTATATTATTTTCTACCATTGCTGTTGCTGATGTTGTCTTTCTTTGATCATCATCATCTGCATCTCCACCACCACCATCATCATCTCCACCATTATCATCATCATCACCTCCACCATTATCATCTTCATCATCATCATAGGCATCGTCTTCATTACAAAATGAGTGAGATAGTGTTATTTAAATTCAAACAGATTCTAAGAATGTGAATATCACGAATATCACGAAAATTAATCAATCGAAATTATTTTTTTCATTCATTTTGTTTATTCAATCTATTCACTCATTCATCCACTCACTTATTCATTCCATTCGTTCATTAATTTGTTATATTAATATCAATTTATTTATTCAATCCTATCTGGTTAATTTTTCCAGTTATATATATATATATATATATATATATATATATATATATATATATATATATATATTAATAATTAGTAGTGATGAAATATTTTTCAAATCTTTCATAATGATCGCAGCTAATGTAACAAATAGATGGCCATAATATTATATATTATAATTAAATAATTCTGATAAGAATCGCTCTGGCTTTCCATCTATCCTATCTATCTTATTTATCTATCTATCCTATCTATCTATATATATAGGTATATATAGATATATTTCAAAAGCTTTGTTATTTTCAACAGACTGTGATGCCAAATTCATAATCATATATTTTGTATGATAATTCTTTTTACTCTCTTTCTCTCTCTCTCTCTCTTTCTCTCTCTCTCTCTCTCTCTCTCTCTCTACTCTATCTTATTCTCTTCCTCTGTATTTCTCTTCCTCTCTCTCTCTCTCTCTCTCTTTGTTTTAATAATTTTCTTTTTTTATATTGATCTCTCTCCCTCTCTCTCTATTTGTCTGTCTGTCTATCTATCTATATCTCTATCTATCTATCTATCTATCTATCTATCTATCTATCTATCTATCTATCTATATATATATATATATATATATATATATATATATATATATATTAGGGATGCACCGGATTCAGGTTTTTCAAATCCGGCCGGGGCCGGACTTGGCCGGATTTGAAATTCAAAAACCGGCCGGAGCCGGGGCCGGATTTTAGTTACCATTTTACATACGTTAGAAAAAATACTCACATTTACAGTTATCTACATGTTGAACATCAAAAAATAACACCAAGCAAATAGTTATTTAATTCAAATATATGAATAAGTTGTGTGATACGCCAAATTCTGTACACAAAGATCAGCTTATAATTTATGCATATTTGCATAACCTAAGTTAAAGCACAAAGAAAATTGTCCAGCTCACCGCACAATTAGTGATGTTGTTATTATGTGTCATGTATGCCTTTAGCTTAGCTTTAGCCATTAACTTACTAACATAAAATTAATTGAATTCAATAAAATTTTTTTTCTATTTCTAACATTTTTAAAAGTTGATAGACGCTTAAATCCGGCCCTAAATCCGGCCACCAAATCCGACCGGGGCCGGATTCGACCGGATTTGAAAAAAAAGCCGGATTTTGGCCGGGGCCGGAGCCGGGGCCGAACTTCGGTGCATCCCTAATATATATATATATATATATATATATACATATATATATTTTATTGATATTTCTATTAAACCACACATTTACATAATAATAGACATAAAAGGTAAATTATTTGTGTATATATCTTTGTATATGTTAGCTAAAATAATAAGAATTATTGTTATTGTTAATCATAATTATTATAAATATTGATGAATTACTTTTTAATTTCAAATCACCCTTATTAATATTATTAATATGTTTATAATAGAAACAATATCTATGTACATTTAGCGGTGTATTTTCATATTTACGTATGTTAATTTTAAAACGTTTTCATGTTTGTGTGTGTGCGTGTGTGTGTATGTAAATGCATAATGCAAAGTGAAAAACAAATCAAATACTACATTTGCGACTATTTTAGCTGGTTTCATATGCATGCATGGGTTGCTATTTAACATTGAAGGATTATCCCAAATAAAAGTTTTTTGGCTTTTTGGTTGATTATTGTTTAAAAAATTTTTTTGAATAAAGATGTTTTGACTTTTACGAACAACCGCGGACTCTTGTCCGGAGTAATACGATCCCATTATTCCCATTTTAAACTTTATTGGGATTTGGAGCACCATCCTCTTTATATGCTATATAAACTGTGAAACTTTTATTTGATTCCGTCTGGCGGTCTTGGAATTCCATAGCCGATATATAAACATATAAATAAATTCACGAGACACATCTCTTTTTTCTCTATATATAGATAGATTAATGTTCCCTAAACACAAATGTTGACCGAGCAAATGTCAAAAGCATTGATCGGATTTCAAAAAAGCTAAACCGTCTGCCACAGGATTAATATAACGTCGCAAAATATCATTTGCCATACAAAACTCATCCAAATGCCAATCCGATGCACACAAGTGTTTTTTACAGTTCGGTAACTAAACTATCAAATCTTTTTTAAAACTGATTCATTTGTAATTGCCTGGTGACGTTTTACATTCTGAAGGTACACAAACTCGCTTGCTATAGGGATGCTTGATAAATTCCTGGAGATAAGTGGTGCTCCAGTGGTAATATCCAGGATCGGAAAGATCCAACTCCGGTTGATGGCTTGGATATACGACGCCGTGACGCTTCGTTGGATAACTAACGAAGTTTTTAAGTCCGCTTGGAACTCGGTAAACCGGTTTTTTGTTGAAACTCGAGCCGTATGTGGTGCAGTAGAGATGTGAGTATTCGCCGCAGATCGGTTCGCCCTGACGCAAAAATCGGACATCGTTTCTTTCCTCCAACCAGTTTCCGACCAACGTTTTACATTTGTTGTATGAAGTAAGTGAATCACCGATTGGTTTGCAGGCTGCTTTGTCACGAAATTCAATTTTTGTCGTTTGGTTGGGGTAGTACAAATCATCCTTGAGGTAATGGCCAACGTAATCGAATGTGTCCACGCAGCGACCGTTCTCTTGCAAATAACTTCTAAAACTCATCTTTAGCAAGCAAGCAAAAAATTAGCTTACGCTTACCTAGTAAACCGGTTCGGTTTACATTCTATCTCAGATCAAGTAAACCAAAATAATTAAGAAATTTGAATTTATTGTTATTTATTTCAGTAGCATTCTGACGTTTCGTTATCAAAAGTAAAAATAAAAACAAGATTGATCAGTTGAGCGCTCATTCTTGAAAATACATTCTATTAAAAAACGACTGACCGTTTGAATGACTGCTTTCAGCCGTATAATTATTTATTAATTTATTACAATTCGTTACCCAGTAAAACCTCTGAGATTCTTTTATCCGTTACTGAATTTCAAATAACCTTTCATAAAATTTTTAAGTTACGCACTTAAACTGTTAATTTTATTGGTATGCATGTGACGTTTGTGAGGGATTTTAAAGTGATTGATCAAACACATTACATTTTAAACTTTAAAGTGATTGATAAAAAACATTACATTTTTGAGTTAAATTCGCTAAAAAATTATTAAAAATTACCATCGCAAACATTAGTAACGAACTATTTTTTTTTAGGTTTTTATGCGATTATTACTACAAAAAATATAGTTACGGTTAATTTCAAAGTTACCGATCATTAACGAAGCAACTTCGCGGAGTTTTTCAACATTTTAAACTTGGTCCTTTTCGCAAATTCAATGAATGAACATCTTCAATATCGATCGGAAAAAAGTCAACACCGTGTAAGTAAGCAAACTAATAAGTTTAATTCATCAAACTTTAACAATCAGACATAAAACAATTCTAAACAATCCAATATACATACATATATCTACTAAATATGTATTATATATATATATTATAAAGGATTGTAATCATTACACATAGGTAATCGTTATCTTAGTCAAGAAGATACAAGTTAGACAAAAGCTGGATAAATATGTTTCAGTATTTACACACAAATATGTACAAAACGAACAGTGCACGCGTGCGTATGTATGTATGTGTGTGTGTGTGTTTATGTATGTATTTTTTTTCATTCTGTAAATCTAACTCCACCAAACGCAGGTAATGTGAGAAGATGAAAACAAAAATAATGGATACAGAAAGTATTTGTAACATTAAGCTTAAGTAAAATAAAGTAAATTTTCAAAATAAAAGAAAAATATTACGTCAGGTATGCGTATGCGTGTGTATATAAATAGTTAACAAATTGGTATAATTTTGTATCCATTGTAATGTAGGTATTAATATATTATGTGTGTATCACATACAATGTATTCAATTCAATTCCAAAAATCTATTATTCAGTAAAATAATAATTAACAAGGGAGACCGAAGTTTATGTATGTGATACATCATACACCTTTCTAGATAGTTTGTGCGTACACATAATTGTATCTGATGCTTGTATGCAACTACAAACGTATGTATATGTATTCATATACGTTACATACTTCACACACACACGCACACACATACACACAGTAAAATTTCCATTGCTTCTCCATCAATTTGTTTATATATATATATATATATATATATATATATATATATATATATATATATATATATATATATATATATATACGACGTTTCGATACAAATGTACCAACAACTTCAGAATGCTTAACTAGTAACAAAATTATATGTATATATATACATACAAATGTGTGTGTGTATGTAAATGTGAGTAGGTATGTGTAAATAACGCTAGCATGAAAAATGTTCGTTTCTTCTAAACAGATATTAATTAATAAACTAAAAATTGTGTGTTAAAAAAAGTTTTATCAAAACTAGATTTGATATATAAATATTTATATATACGTATACATACATGTATATATATATATATATATATATATATACACATACACACATGTACCTAAAAGTGCAACATTTTAAAAAATAAGTTATTCCAGCTGACGGTGCATACAATTCCAGCTGATGGAACACCAATAACCAAGGATGAGATATAATAAAACTGCTATTACGATTTAGAGGTTACGAGCTAAACCTAGCTGGAGGTGGTTGTGATCGTGGAGTGGCTTTTTCAAACCCGACCTCTTACATTCATAAATAAAACTCCCATAGTTATCTGTTTAATCCTATTTTTGTAAAAAAAAACAGTCCCATTTTCAACTTTTCCATCCAATTTCAGTTTACATAAATCTTTCATTTTAATATTTTTGAGTGACATAGAAAAAAAACTCACGTTGTGAAATACTCATACTCAAATGATTTCATTTGAATATAATTAAAACTCGTTAAATACAAACTTACTACCTATATATCAGTGTAAATGATTTGTTTTCAATGTAACTTAGAGCGTGAAAAAACGGATTTCGAAAATCATTAAGGAAAAATATATACCCAAGGTTCCCGATTTTATCTCTTCTTCCCTATGGAAACTTTTTCCAAAATATAAACTATTTCCATTTAGAGAGAAATTCCGGTGATAAGCATGGAAATTCCCGTGATGAACATCGAAATTCCCATGAAAAGCAATATCCCAATTGTAGATATAGGAGTAGTTAAAAATGGTCGCAATACCAAGTCATCTAAAGAAACTTTGAAATTGATATGAACGAGGAATAAATTATGGAAAAAGTTTATTCAACTTAGAGATAAGCAAGGAAATTTCCATGAAAAGCAAGGAAATTCCCATGAAAAGCAAGGAAGTTCCCATGATAGCATGGAAATTTCCGTAATGAGCATGGAAATTTCCACTCCACCATTCCCATTTCCACCTCTAGGTCTACTCGGCACAAGAAAATTATGATGACAGACAATAATTTTTTCAAAATACAAAAAAACATTTTTCACAGTAAATAAACACACGCCTACATGTGGCAACATGAAGAGAATACATAAAACGTAAAAAAAAAGCATAACATGTAAACTCTAATGAAAGAAGGAAAACATACATAGATATACACAACATTTACATGTATATTACAGGTTTTTTTGCATAAGTTTTCCCGATAATAATAACGACACACAAACACACGTTGTGAATTGAAGATTTTCTGCTATCAATTCTATTGATGGCTATTATCTGAATATCATCTGCATAAGCATGGCATGAGGAGACCAATGAATCAAACCAATGCGGGCCCATTCATTTTATCAGTATCAATCACTATCGAAATTTTTAGAGCGTCTCTCTCGAAAAAAAAACTTAAGAAGTGCTTTCTATGGTGCTTTTTAATTTAAACAGAATGCGAAGAAAAAACTTTTTAGCTAGAGTTAAAACATGAAGGTTAGATTTAGACGTACAGCCCCAAACAGAAACACAATAAGTCAAATAAGGAAGAATAAGAGAGTTATATATAAATATATATATAAACCTTATTCGGCAGGTTACTGACGAATAAGGTTTATATATATATACCTATATATATATATATAGGTCTTATATATATATATATATATATAAAAGACTGTCTGGCCTATGGCGGGTAATGGTTTACTAATAATATATATATATGTATATATATATATATATATATATATATATATATATATATATATATATATGTTGGTAATAGAACATAATTTTTACAATATTCTATAAATTCTACCGAATGTTTATTCGGTAGAATTTATAGAATATTGTAAATATATATATATAAATGTAAATATATATATATATATATATATATATATATATATCAATTTGAGTTTCTTGGTCACAATAATTGAGTTGTGTTATCTTAAACCTTATTCGGCAGGCTACTGACGAGTCTCGTGAGAGACGGAACGTACGTCTGGCCTATGGCGGGTAACGGTTTACTAATAAGACCTCTTGCGACTGAATGGGTTCTTAAACCTTGTAACAACGTGATGTTGTTCTTACCTATTGGTCGCGACACCTCAATTTTAGTTTCTTGGTTACAATAATTGAGTATAGCAAGCGAGTTTGTGTACCTTCAGTATGTAGAATACTTGGAACTTTTTTGTATCCTTGAGAACATCATTGAG